CCTAACAGGCATTCAATTCAGTGGCCTACATAAGCAAGGAGAAGAATTATCCAGCAGACATCTATGACATAAGTGAATATATATATATGGATCATTATTTTTAGGAGTTTTAATTAGTCACTTGGCAACAGTAGCGGAAATACATTTTTAAGAGTTTGACTTTTTAGAAATATATTTCTGTAATACTTTTTGCTTTTTTAAATTTATTAACATGCAGCTTTTAATTAAGATTCATGCAGATTTATAATGGAACAAATCAGTAACGTCCCATGTTTACATAAAAGCTGATGAACCAACAACTTTACATATTAGAATAAAACCTAAGGGAGGATCTTTTATGTAGAGTCCATTAATATTCCCACGCAACTCTTTATATATGAGTATAATGCAGCATCAGAGATGGATACATTAACCAACATCCAGCTCACTGTGCTTCATTCACAGATGGTACATATGGTGCACAAGAGTAAAATATACTTAATCAAAGGCTTTCTCTACAAGGGAATCCAGCAGCATATACTGAACTTAAAAGGATACCAAGCTTGTGTAAACATAACAGAAAATAGTCTGTAAATGTCATCCTTATCGATCAGATCCACACTTATGTGATTTTATGAATATAAAAAAATAGAGGAATAGTGGATCAATAAAGGCCAGGTGTATTGTGCATTCCTTGATCTTAAAATAAAATGTATTCATTTGATTCTAATTAAAAAAAAATCTTCAAAACGCCAGTATTACATTGACCAAATGTAAAAATGAACCAAGAGATTTTTTTTAATTAAAAGCTGAGAACTCTCACTATTTTCACTTTAAAATAAAATCAACCAACAGCAGGAATTAGAAGACCTCTTTTAGAGACCATTGGCTCTTTTAAAGCTCCATTCCTGTGGTAAACCGGAACCATTATTTATTGGAAAATATTGATCAGCTTATCTCTACAAAAACAATACTAGATTGACACAATGCAGCTGAGGTGGATTATAGCATTATAGATCCTGGTTTAATTATTTTAAAACTTCTATTATTTATCCATGCACTTATCAATGCAAAAATACCTCCTAAATAAGTGTAAATGTAATAAAAATAAGCCTCATTTGTAAGCCCTTTTTATGTAAAATGTGTGAAGAAAGTTTCTTGTTTTTCATGCATTAGTACATGTTTTAGCATCCGTTTCCTGTCAGTTTTCCCCTGTTGTATAAATAAGGTGGACAGGATAAGGAAGTACTACAGATTCCTTCCTCCGGTCCTGCCTGTTGGGAATCTGGATTTAGAACAATGGACTCCAAACCTTTTTAGGGCGTGAACCAACAGTGGGTCATGGTACCGACTCAGCAAGGTGTGTCTGGATAGACTGGGTGTAAACTGAGCACACACACAGGAAGTGTGAGACACTCGGCCCCATCTGGCAGACAGAAGCCTCTTGTGGTTGCCCTAGTGCATGAATTCACATGCAGAAATGACTCAGGAGTGTCATACAACTCTTCAATGCAACACCCTTCTGAAAGTAGCACAAAGGCTTTCATTTTAAGGCTTAGCTTTATTAGATCACGAGATGATGTGTTCTCACTTCTGGCTTGGTTTAATTAGGTGCCCTACATTATTCCTGCTCTTGTTCGGTGGTGGATTTCCAGAAAGATCTGTTTGGAAACGAATGTGCACAAAAAATATCATTTTCCAGGACATTTGTTCTTTTGGGAAACCAAGAAAAGCAGCTTGGAGCAGCTAAAGTTCACCGATACTCTGCTTCCCTCTCTCAGGCTGCCTCTGACTCAGCTCCACATCTCAGCTAGCGTGTGTCCTGGGGGTTGAGGAGAAGAGGGTGGGTCTGTTCTCAAGTATTAGCATGCTCTCAGAAGCCTGAGGAGTTAGCTTTTCACTCTCACTTAGAGAAAGGCTGCAGCAGACGGCTGCTCCTTCACCACATCTGTGCTGATTTCCTGCCTCCTGCAAACAGATGGAGAAGGGATGCTTCTGTTCCCAGCGTGGTGCTTGAATCGCCCATTGATGGCTGAACCGATTCAGACTGATGGAGTCTGTCCATCAGCTTTAAAGGGCTCTAGCACTTAAAGAACAACAAGTTTATTTCTTTTTTTCTTCTTTCACACTTGCTTCTAGGATTGGGCGATTTATTTATTTAATAGATTTTCTTGTTTATGAGGATTTAATGGATTTAATTCTAAATGAATATATTGATTTATTTTTCACCAATTATTGCCTGGGCATCCATAGCTCAGGGTGACATTGTCATTTTTTTCTCCTTATAACCAGTAAACTAGTTCTCTGTGTGATACCACCTGCTGCTAATATATATCGTGTTACTTTTTGAAATGAAGGCCACCCCCCAGCTCAACTGGCTTTGATTGAAATCAAAGCCAGTTGAGTACTTCTTAATTAGAGGTGTGGCTGACACACATTCAGAGGAAACTGTCTATAATCCAAACACATTCCGGCATCTTAATAAAGAGACTTAAACATGTAGGAACGGTTTGGTCAAAGATGAAGCTGAATAAACCATAACTGGACTAAAACTGTGAGGAAACAACAGAGAGGGACCAGTTTTCCCAGGATGAGGGAATTTTGACTTAAACATGGAGAGAAGATGTAAACCTAGGCAGGGATTTAAACTGGGTACCTCAATGTTGGACAACGCAGCCCAACTTTAATAACATGATACATCTAAACAGACTAGTTTGCATGAGATGCATGTCCAGCGCTACTGTAAAATTTAAATATACTGTTTTATTGTTGAGTTAGTCTTCTGGGTTTTAATAAGATGGCACAACATACAGTTCATTAAAGGAATCTGATTTAAACTGAAAGCTTCATACTTTTTATATCTAAAATCTCCTTGTTGATAAAGTGGCAAATCTGGGTCTATGTTTTTATGTCCCTGCAGGAAGTTTAACATCAAAAGGTTCAGTTTCTCATTAAATCCAGGCCTCAGACTGCTCCCTATTGTAGGTGGGCAGGTGCTCACTATTTGGTTAGAAACTTCAACATGATGATGAACCTTATTAGTTTAGAAAATGGTACAGATGGAATGTTTCTCTTCCTCCAAACTGTGACAAAAGGATCCAATTTGCTGTCTGGGTTGTTTGTTTACGGTATATTTTGCAGCTTATTAGTGTTGGTAGGGAGCTGCAGATCAATCCAACACAACCAATTTCTCTCATTATGCAAATAATTTACCTCCAGCCTTAGATGCTTTCTCACAGACAGCTGAACCAGTTTAATATTCCTGCATGGTCACTGATGTTTAAAATAAAGACCAATGACAATCTTCTTGAAATGGAAATGGAGAGCTACACACATTCAAGACCTAGTTTTTTTTTTGCGCCTCCTTTAAGGCCCTCTCTGTTTGACCTACATAGACCTGCAGACCCATTTTAACAAAAATTAGACTACTTTGCTTGTTTCTTTATGAAATAATGTGAGTTCAGATTATTGTTAAAGTAAACATAATAACAAAAAATTGAATGTTTTTTTGCAATGAAGTTTGTGGCACAATTTCAACTCTGCTCTTTTGGCTTGAATTCTAAAAGAACAAAAACAAAAGCGGTTAACATTTTTTTTTTCTTTTTTTTTCTCGTTTCTAAAGAACACAAATTCAGTGTCATCTCATAAAGGCAGAGATTTTTATGAAAAAATCTTTATGGATATCATGAAACTATACTGAAGGATTGCAAAGAGACTCCTGGCTCTGAAGGCACACAAGATATGCAGACAAAATGCAAAATAAAATGGTTGTAGAAATGAAATAAACAGAAGAAAAATACTTGGTTAGAAATATACGTAGTTTGAATGTAAAATACTTGATCTTCCATGTCATGATTGATTGATTTTTACCTCAATTTCACTGTTTATGTGACCTCTGCTGGTTATTATATCATTTCAGGGTTTGGTTTGATATTTCTACAATTTGTCTAAATCTGGGATCTGCAGCCTGCAGCTCTGGAACCACATTTGCCTCTTTGCCCCTCTACACTGACTCTTGATAATGGCTAAAATAATACCAATATTATAAACTTTAGTTTTTTTAAAAAAATATTTGAATTAATGTTTCACCACAGGATAGGATAAAAAGAACCGGAAATGTTTGTGGAGCTTTTAGAGCTATTAGTATTTTTATTTGCAAGTAAATTATGCATTTTTATTAAGGGTGTAAATGATAATCGTTTTGTATACATGCATCGATGCAACAGCCAATGAACTGATGCATCGACACGTCGGCAAGAGTATCGATTCATGTTTTTGTTTTTTTTATCCATTTGCTCCTAAATGTAATTCTGACTCCCGTGCTGCGGTGGCGCTAAACCTATTTTGCCCTCCTACCTCGAATGAGGTTTTAATAGGCCTAGGTGGAGTACAACTTTGCTGATCTGAGGGAGTCCAGTTTTTATTCCTGTACGATAACGATATTACAGCTTTCATTAATTTATTTCAAATTTTAAACATTTTCTAGCCTTTAAGGTAAAAAAACAAACAAAAAAACACCCAAAACAATTACCAATTAATTAAATTGAGTCATATCGTGGTGTATTCTTGAGTATCGAAAATAATCGAATCGTTGGGTCAGGACAAAATTGAGTCGCCATGATGGGTTTTATTTACACCCCTTCATTTTATTTATTTATATATATATTTTTTAGATTAAATAAAACCCTATAGAAATAAATCCATGCCTCATATTAATGAATCATTTTATGTTTTTCTGTATTTAAAAAAAAAAAGACAAAAAACAAAAATGGAAAAAAAATACAGCACTTATTTTGTGTAAAATAATAAGTGCAGTCTGATTAAAAGGTAATTTAATATTTGCTGCTCTGAACCACTTTTAATTCGCTACACTCAGGGGGTGAAATGGCTCCTTGGCGTTCAAACGTTGCAGACCCCTGCTCTAACTATTACATCTGTTTCTGCCATTTTTTTTTTTTTTTTAAACAGGTACTGCTGGATAATCATTTAATCAGTAACTCCACAAACCCAGAGAGCAAAGTATTCTATCTAAAGATGAAGGGAGACTACTACAGATACCTTGCAGAAGTTGCCTCTGGAGACACCAAGACAAGTAAGATCACATTATATCCTCATTAGCTTTTAATTGAGGGCGTTTAATTTTTAGGTCTTACTATAGTGACTCTTATATAGGACAGGATTTTAATGTCTTAACTATAGAATGCACATAGTCTGATTATGTCTCCACCAGCGGTGGACGCATTTACTAGGACTAGATGGCAATTTATTAAAGGCTGTTATCTCAGATGGAAAGGGGCCAGACATGTTATTTTTTGTTTGTTTTTCAGAAACCATTGAAAGCTCACAGCAAGCATATCAGGCTGCGTTTGACATCAGCAAGACCGAGATGGAGCCCACACATCCCATCCGCCTGGGGCTGGCACTTAACTTCTCAGTCTTCTTTTATGAGATCCTCAACTCCCCAGAGAAGGCCTGCGAACTGGCCAAAAAGGTCAAAGAAGCTTAAAAAACGGAGCGCAGCTTTTTCTAACTGGATGTAAACTTGGGCGCACTGCATTAACACGCGTCTGCTTTGTTTACAGGCGTTTGATGATGCTATAGCAGAGCTGGACCAGTTACACGAAGAGTCCTACAAGGATAGCACCCTCATCATGCAGCTCCTCAGAGATAACCTCACAGTAAGCTCTCTGCTCTCACACAGCATCAAAATCAACACTATTGGCTAGAAATAAACCCTCCTTTCCCACCAACGTTTAATTAGTCCTTATATAGAAGCTTATTTTTAAATTAGAACATCATCAAAGTTATTTTAATATTTCAGCTCAAGAACTAAAACTAATATTTTATATAGATGTATTAATAAGTTCAATAATTGCCAATTATTACTGCATGAGTGCAGAGCTGCATGCAGAGGATCAGGAAACATAGGAATCTTCAGAATCTTTACGAGCTTCCCTCCGGAGTCTAATCTTTGTCCTAAACCCTCCTGGGTTCAGGTCAGTGGTGATTCTATGGTCATTAAAAACAGGGATTCATACTTTTGGGAGCAGCTACTAAGTACTACGGTAAAAGAAATCAGCTCAACAGAGAGAAAAAAGATGGTCATAACTGGAACTTTAATAATGTAATATTATTATAATATTGACCCGATACGATTTTCATTTGAATCATCCCCTATTATTTACTTATTTTATACTGTAGAATGTTAGAAAAAGGCTTGATCAAATAATATTAATAAAACAGGCAACAAAATCAACAGCAAAAGTTATAAAAATAACCTTTTTTCCATTTTTTATTGTCATTACACTGTCAGAAGTATAGAGCACAGAAATGCATTTAACCCATCCCCTTGGGGAGCAGTGGGCTGCCATTTTGTGGCGCCCGGGGAGAAGTGTGGGGTTAAAGTCTTTGCTCAGAGAGCCAGAGTGGCAGTCTGTGGGAGTGGGGCTAGAACTCAGAACCTCAAGATTCCAAGCTCTATGCCCTAACCACTAGGCCGCCACTCCCCGACATGACACCATGTAAAATGAACCAATGAGTTGCAGAAACGTCTAACAGAAGCTAGAAGATAGAGTGTTTTTATCAGAATATTAGAAATATTCTTTTTTTTGGCTAATATGGGACCGATATCCGATATTAATATATGATCGGGACATCCCTAGTTACAACAGCTCTTGGTAGCACACAAAATGGGGAAAAGGGAAAAAAGAATGTAAAAACTTAAATATATAGTTATATATATTCTAATATATAAAGAGTTAAAACATATCAATGTGGTACCAACTTATTAGACCTTATTTAGCAGTAGTGGTCATTTGCAATAGTATTAAGCAGTCTGACAACAGCAAAAGAATGTCCAGGTCGTTACCTATATACTAGGAGTGGAACGGTTCACAAAATCCACGGTTCGGTTCAGTTCACGGTTTCATGGTCACGGTTTTTGGTTCGGTTCGGTATATGTTGATTGTTAGCCTGACATGTTGGTCGTGTTGCTGTTATCATAAACAAAACGTGTTGCACAATATTTGCACATTGTAGCACTTTTATCCACAACTTTCTTTTCGCCGTCATCGTAGGTCACTCTAAATGCAAAGCGCTCCCATACAGCAGACCTATAAAGTGCTGCTGGCGCGTCTTCCAACTCCTGTTCTTTCCCACTCGCTATACCCACACAATTGTCCACAACAACTGATTTTATTCTTCTACACCCGGCTACTGCTTCACTTCTTCTTCTTGTTTACTACTGGTGGTTGGCTTTGGTCGCAGTACCGCCACCTTCTGCTCTGGAGTGTACACGCTTCGCCTATGAGAAGAAGGAGCAGCGCATGAACCGAACGCAAAACACGCCAACCGAACCGAGACAGTTGAACGGAACGGTTCGGGCGGTTTTCATAAACCGTTCCATCCCTACTATATACAGATGTTATTACACGTATACTGTTAATATGAATTGTTTCCTGTTTGCCGGCTGCACAAGCTTTTGACTTGATATCACCCCAGATGACATCATGTCTCCCAAATCATCACTGACTGTTAAAGTTTAACAGTGGATCTTAAAGGGCAGATTATACTTCTGCAACCGCACACATCAAATGTCGCTTGGGTCTGGTCGTGAACCAGTTTTACTCGTATGCTTCTGCACCATCGGTCTGGAATTTCTTGGGACACAGCAGTTTCCCGCCACAGCGCAAGGGGGAGCCTAGTAGAGAACTCAAGAGAACTTTTTTGAGATGCGCGACAACGGTTGCAGAACCTCTGCACGGGGGGCCTGGTCGCGCACAGAGACAGATTTGAAGGTTACAGAGGCTATGTGTCAGAAGCATAAATTGGCCTTAAGTGACTTGGATCCTGTGCTCCTCGACTTCTTTCAGATTCTGGGATGATTATTGCGAAAATCAGTGCTAAACTAAAGCCTGAGTTACACTTCAGCCTCAACACACGTATAGTTTAGATATCTGTAGGTTGTGGCTATGACTTCACATCCCGTCCGCTCTTAAAGAATCTCATCTTTCTACCAAGCATCCTTTTTCCACTAAAGCTTATATCTGGATGATTGGAGCTCTGTGTGAACAACCAGCTTATTATACATGTTAAATTTTTTCCCATAATTATGAAAATTAACAGCTTTTGAGATGTGACTGCGTAGATTCCTTTTTCTATTGAGTGTGAACAATTTTGTTCTAGTTTCACTTCAGTCTTTTTCTTTCCTCCTGCATAAATTCACTATTTTGAGCAGCCAGTTTCCGCTGATTAGAAGAAAAGCTGGCAGCACCTGAAACCCGGAAATTACACAAATATATATTTTAATAGAGCAGACCAAAATGTTTTTTTCTTAAAAATGATAAACCCCAAATGTGAAGTTTATATAAATATAATGTAGCTGTTTTATTCTTAATCCAAGATTTGCTTTTCTCCACAGTTATGGACATCTGATAATGCTCCGGAGCCGGATGAGGGCAATGCTGGAGAGGCAGAGGCCGGGGAGACGGAGAACTAGAGTGTGCATGCCCTAACTGTTGGGGAAACAACAAAAATGATTTGAAAATTGAAAAAAACAAAACAACTTTTCTCATTTTATGCTCCATTACACTCCACTGCTACATTCCATTGCTGGAAATGACCTAAAGTAACCAAGATAAAGTCCCTCAGCAGATCAGATTTGGAGATTTCCTTCCATCCCTGTAGTTTTTCTCTCTGCCTTCCCATCTCGTTCAGCTGTAGAAAGGCAAAAGGTAATCTAAATTGATTTGAGACCCAAGGTAGAAAAGATGAAAACCTGATCACACGTCATCTCATTGCATCATTTTGCAGGTTTTCTACCAGGTTATGTGGTACTGTTACATTTTGCTTGGGTTTGATTTGAACAAATTTGTATTCTTCAGGGAAAAAGTGGGTGCACTTTCACTTGCTGGCTAAAAACGTTTCAACAAAGCCAAGCACTGCCCAGTGGCTGAATATTCAGTTCTGATCCCAGTGACTCGTTCACTGAAGTCCGTCTGCTTGAGGTGAACTTGCTGTTCTCTTCTGACCAACTACCAATTTGTTGTCAGTGGAGAGAAGCAGTTCCAGATCCTGCACTCCTCTTCAAATTTTACACTGGAATGGGAACAAAAGTTTTTAGCCACTCGACAGAAGTGAAATATGTTAATCTGTTTGGTGATATACTTTCTCTCTGTTGAGATTTGGACCACTTTTGTTTTGTAAATTCAGTTGGTAGTCCCTAAACGCCTTGTGGAACTGTTGAATCCTGTTGCATCCACTATGTTAACATGAATAAAACATTTTATAAGCCAAGCCAATGTTCTTTCTTCTTTTACACCTGCATATTAAGGATTTAACTCTAATCTTTAGACCCAGCATTTTTTAAACATTTTAAACATTATTCAAAACGGCAAAGCAACATTTTCATGATACAATTATTTTTTTTTTAACTACTAAATTAAAAACTGCAGATTTTAAACCATTTTCAAGGACATCTAACCTGTGCCTGTGATCAAAATAAAACTTTAGTGCCTTCCAGTCAGGTTTTTGACCACAGCCTAGAGACTGCATAGGTAAAGTTTTAACATGGAATCTTAACCTTCTGTTAGTTTTAATTTGATCTTATAGATATTTGATCCTAATCAACTGAATGATGCGACTGGAAAGGTGGTGGCATTATAAGCTGATGTGATGTTGGTTGAGATCCTATTTTAAGTTTCTATGATTTGGCAAATTAAAAATCAAACCAAATAAAGATTACATTAGGGGTTCGAGTCTCCTTTCGTTAAACATCCATGTTCTACCTATAGCTTTGATTATAATGTGCTGCTTTCGTACCATTCACCTATTAAAAACCTGCTTTTATTTTTCTGTTGCCATGGCTAAATTCCCCTGTAGTCAGTGACTGTATTGCTGTAACAATATTACATGGATGGACCAACATCTCTTCAGCTTAAAGTACAAAAATAACACGTTGAAATAAGGATTTCGCCAGCAAGACTGTGGCCTATTACCCACAAAGTTCCATAATCCTGTGTTGAATTGGACCCAGACCTACATTTTAGCATCTGTATGTATAGTTCTAAGTCGGCCTTACATTGTCTTTAACAAAGAATAAGGATATTCTTAAGAAAATGTTTTTGTTTATGCTAACTTTTAAAAAATGAGCTCGAAAAGGATTATTTCAGCTGAATTTTTGCAAATGACTTTGACCAGCAACAGGAAAATGGATCAAATCAAACCTGCCTCTAAATAAATTGAGTCCCTGCTTTGATTTGCTCAAATTGCCATGTTTAGCCTTGTCCTTTGTTTGTTTTTAAGTTAGATTTTGATTTTTCTTTATCTGTCACGCTTATCACAAGTGGGGTCACGAGGGGTACAGGTGCCTGTCTCCAGCTGTCTACGGTTGAGAGGCGGGGTCCATCCTGGACAGGTCACCAGTCTATCGCAGGGCAACACAGAGACAAACAGGACAAACAATTCACGCACACACACCTAAGGAGAATTTAGAAAAGCCAATTAACCTAGACGTCATGTTTTTGGACTGTGGGAGGAAGCCGGAGTACCGGAGAGGACCCTCGCATGCACAGGGAGAACATGCATACTACGTGCAGTAATGTTCCAGGAATCGAACTCGGAACCTTCCTGCTGCAAGGCACCACTTGATATTTTCCTATGGTCTTTAAGTTTCATTTAAAGCACTGTGGATTTATTTCAGTAGGAATTGTGAAAATACTCAAAATGATATAAATATGCTGCATTGGCTGTAGTTAATATCTCATTTTGAAACAACAGTAAGACCTATAGCCAAGGCTATATGTAACGTTTTTATTCTGTGTTTCATACTTTAAAAATAGGTCTGTTGCCTCATAAAGATCAAAAGTTGTTCAGTAAAAGAAAAAAACAAAACATTTCCAATAAACCCCGATTACACAAAGCCACTCATTTTCCGTGAATAGCCCCTCCCTGCTGCTCTTCTTCGTAATCTCCAACCGTGTCCTGTTCCGGCAAATGGTAAACGAGCGAACCCATTTCTTCTAGGCGATGTTTTGCTACTCAGTGCACTTCCGGATAGCTTCTCCGTTAGCCTTACACCTAAATGGGACCATTTTCTAACTCTCAGATGTGACAGAATCGCTTGAATATGATTAATATAGTGTTACTTGTCTTTTTTGGCTCTTTTTGGGTGAACGCTGTTATAACCGCAAGGATTGGGTCGGAGGATATTACCGAACATGGCCCGGAGTTTGGTAAATATGGGAATGAGTTCAGCTAACGTTAGCTAAAATAAAACCGTATGACAAATTGCTTTTTTTAACATTTAATAATCATATCTAAACTGTATTTTAATATTGAATAGACATTTAAGTGCTCAAACAGCTAAAACCTTCAATATTCCTCTGTTTGTTTCATGGAAGCTGGTTTCTGTTCCTTATTTCCAGAAACTCTGAGCTCCATCCTGTCAGAGTATGAGGTGCTGCCTGTGTCAGGCTTCCAGCTGCACTCTGTGAGAAAGAGGGACGTCCACAGTGAGTCCCACCTGGAGCGCCTGGTGAGCTTCAGAGCCCTGCAGAGGTACAGGATTAAAAACTGGTCTCCCTCAGATCAAATTGTGGGGTTCAGATCCTAGAACTCTGAAAAACCAAGGGTGTAACTTTGTGATAAAAGTTGGAGGGGAAGCTCTAAGGATAGTGGCTGCTGGACCTACAGCTACACTTTCAGTAGGGTTTATATTTTCCAAAAATGAGCTCAAACATATATTTATTGAATGCTTTCCTATTGTTGAGAACACAAGAGCACAACAGTAAACTTATATTTATGGTTATATCCATTCATCAATTTTTTTCTCGCAGTGGGTAGCACTGCTGCCTTGCAGCAAGAAGGCCACGGGTTTGATTCCTGGCTTGGGGTCTCTCTGCATAGAGTTTGCATGTTCTCCCTGAGCATGCGTGGGTTCTCTCCGGGTACTCCGGCTTCCTCCCACAGTCCAAAAACATGACTGTTTGGTTAATTGCTTTTCTAAATTCTCCTTAGGTGTGAGTGTGTGTGTGAATGGTTATTTGTGTCTGTGTTGCCCTGCGATGGACTGGCGACCTGTCCAGGTTGTACCCCCTCTCGCCCGTAGATAGCTGGAGATAGGCACCAGCACCCCTCGCGACCCCACTTGGGATTAAGCGGATCAGAAATGGAGACAGATGCCTGCCTTTAGAGCATTATTTATTAAGGGCTCAAAAACAATA